AGTTTCATTTTGTAGTTAAGAAGGAAAAACACAAGTGAGTTCATGCTGTGACAGTTGGGGAGATTTGCCATGAGGCAGCAGTTGCAGAGAAAGGCCATTCTTCTTTACCTACTCATTGTGGACTCCTAAGAATCATCAAATGATGTATAAAGGAAAGATAATATAGTAAGAAACAGTGAAATCTCATTAACTCTTCATTAAGATGTGATACTTCATGTTCTGGTGACAATACTGTATTTTGTCAGAAAAATATTAATAGGTTTCTTTCAAGTTAGCATACTACTCCCGATAATATGAACTTCAAATATTATAGGAATTATTTTTAACTGTCATGGTTCCTGTGAATATTTTGTTCTTTAACACATCATTGCAGAGCCTGAGTATCGAGTATTTAGGTGATGTTACTGTAAAACCTCTGGAGAAAATTGCTTTTAGAAATATCTTTCTCTAAAACTCCTGAACTCTGCCCATGTTGGCCCATTTTTAATAGGTATTGAGCTATTACTCATTCTTTTATCTGTATCAGATTTGTTCCTACACAATATTGTCAAGTGGGTTCCTGTTGGATAATGACATGCTTTTTACTAGGAAATTTTAATAAAAAATTTCTTGTCTTGGGTTTGAATTCCTCACAGCTCTGTTAATTGGTATTTGTAGTTATATCTCCAAACTATGGCCTTTTATATAAAGTGCTTCTACCTGTGCATACATGGTGCATGACATATATTAGGCACTTAAATATTGGATTGATGGATCGATGAATTTGGAAGCTTCACTTTTTGGTTGTTAAAAATGGGAGGAGCATAAATCCTCTTAAGTAATAAGCCTATAAGATTGTTTCTGGTGATAAGAATTTTAGAAAAACTAAGCTAGTGAGAGAATATACAATGTATGACAAAAAGACTAAGTTTGTTAACTTTATTATTACTTATACTCTCAACTCACATTTCAGAGCTGGCTCCTACCTGTTATTTTTAAATCCATAGTAATTTAGGAAATGCTTAATAAAAGACTTTGGGATATTTCTTTTTACATATGAATCTGCCTTGTCACAATATATAGTAATTAATTTAGATAAAAGTAATTTGTCTTTCTTCTCTGTATTTTTCCTGGGGATTTTGGTATGGTAAATTAGTAGGTTACATTTTGTTTTCATTGAGTTTTTAAAAATTTGCATGATGACCAAAATATAATAAAAAGGTGATCTCTTTCTGAAAAAAGACTGAGTGGCTTACTACTCTAAAAGTAGGGTCAGGTAGACACTACTTCATTCCTTTTCTTTTTGGCACCCACTCAATTCTTGGCCATCTATCTTTTCTACCTAATGGTTAAACAGATTCTCAGGAAAAGCATGCCAAAGAAAAAGGAAGCCTTTCTGGGGCAGGAAGAACTCCTTAGTCAGAGCAGCCCTAGGCTGTTTTACCCCATCATTAGAGCAAGAAAATCCTGAGAGAAACTTCTTTCACCCATTTCTGTCAGTATTTCTCCTTTTGGGGACTGGAGTGAAGGAGCACAGGCTGTGGAATGGAGCCTCATATTCTGGAAATTAACATTAAAGAATATATTAAAGTTAGGAAGCCATTGGGAAAAATCATAGAGATCATTAGATTATGAATGTCATTAGTTTTGGTTATTATCTCATGGATAATGGCCACTTAATGAGCTTTGGAACATTAGACAAGGTAACCTCTTTAAGCCCTATGACCTTATCTTTAAAATGAGGTTCATGATAGTACCAATTTCAGATGGTTGCCATGAAAATTAAACAACACAGAGTGCATTGCTGAGGATTCTTAGTTATAAACCCTAGAATCTGATTCTGACTGGCTTAAGCAGAGGATTTGGAGTGGATATAGGAAATTTCTGCCTTGCTATAAGGGCTAGAGAACTGGACTCAAAGGTTATACGGCTGTGAATTGGTCGAAATCCTGACACAGAATGAATCTGAGGAGGACAACTGCATTATTGGTGAGCATTGGATGCTACAGTTTGCATTGACTTGCACTGGGACTGTTATCAACATTGTTGTCACTGCTACCTTTAATGCTAACTTCCTGCTGCTCCTTCTTGAAATAATTCTCTACTGTTCCTCATTCTCTGTATCATTTGCTCCTGGTTCAGAATCTCTGACAAGTGATTTTGTGTCATATAGTCATGCCTTGCAGCGGGGAGCCTGGAAATGCAAGCTTATGATATCAGTTTTTATGAGGGGATTTGGGCTCTGCCCACCATGAAGACTTAGGAAACTGGGAATTCCCAGAGCAAAAGAGAGGAGTTCAGAGCTGGGCAGCCAAAAAACTGATAAGTTGTCGTTACTTATAAAGTGCTTAGTACTATGTCTGACATGTGGTAAGTGCCTAATAAACACTGGCTTTGATTAATTTATATTTGCCAGTCTTTTTTGAAAAAGTTAGATTTCTACTCCCAGATTTGATTTTTGAAGCAAATAGATTGGAGCTACTAGAACAGTAAAGGTAATGGATAAATGTAATTTCCAAGCCTAGAATTTCCATGGTAAGTTTAATGAAGTTTACTAGACTGTACCTCCCAACTGTTTGGAAGTAACTCAAGGGTGATTCTGGACTTGTTAGCCAAAATGTATAAGCAGCTAATAGCCCAACTTGCCACTGAGACTCCCTTGCCATTCTTTAGTTGCCACCCTTTCCACCTGGTTTCCCGTGTATAAGAGTGGTCAGTAATAACATAATTTAGAAAGTTCTGGCCTTAAGTGTCAGAAGAACTGGAATTGAATCTTGGCTCTACCGGTGAGTAGCAGTATGATCTTGGGCAGGTTACTTAGTCCCTCAGACTTTTGTGTGTGTGTGTG